GACCCTTCCTTTTGACATTACTGCGGGCACATTTATCCATTTTTGCCAAGCTTTGAATTTCATTTGCAGAATGAGATTTTGATGTATTAAGTTTATGTAAAAGATCACAATATTTTATAACAAAATCTCTTAAGCACATAAACCAATAGCATCATTATTCAATCATAAAATTTTATCCAGTTGGTAGAACTTAGAAAATGGCAACTGCATCCCATGCTGAAGGGTCAGATCATTCTCAAAGGTAACACCTTCCAGGTGGATAGAGAATCAAGACAAAAGAAAAAGTAAAAAAACCCATGCAGTGATGACACAAAAAACATATAATACAAAACTATGTTCCTCTTTCCTGTTAAAACTGCAAATGCACAAAATTACTCTCAGCTTAATTTATGATGGAGGACATTTTTACACCATATTTACCAGCTGCACAAATCTGTTCTGAACATGAATCATGGTGCAAGAATGTATAGAATTTCAACATTCATCTTTTCGATTTATCAGTAATAAAGGAAAATGCAATTAGACAATCAACAAATAATCAATTTAAATAACTTTTGATCATTTCATTATCATAGTACTCCAAATGAAAACCTATTTTTATACTATGCTTTACCTGATACAAGGCCCAGGATTTGATTTGATTTGTTAAATAGCATATCAACTCCTTTATGGGTCATTTAATGCTAAAATTTCATTTTCCTTAGAGATTTCAAGTAATAAAAATATGATATATATTATTCTGCTTTCACAATTGAATACATGGTAGATGATACTCAGCTTTTGTGCATATACATGTTTGTGCAGATATAATTACTAGGGTTGGTGATATGCATGTTTTATGATGTAGTTTTGTTGAAGTTATATTTTCAAATACAGATTGATTTCTTTAAGAAATTGTAGGATATTATATGGATTCATGTTATGAAAGACTTCTTTCATGTTGGTTGTTTGATTCTGTTTGGCAACACATCCACCAATCTCCAGAGGCCACCAAACCCCAAAATCCAAATATCTTGCACACAACACTATGCTTCCAGCTGCAGACACTCTGTACATAATTCTACACTCTCAAGGCAAAGGCATGTCTTTCAGATATATATTTTGTAGATCATAAAATGTATTGTTGGTAATTTTACTATAAAAATATATTGTTGATTTTTGTTTGGAGGTTCAGTATTTGCCCATAGCTGGGACCCTAACAGGTGCTACCACCACGGGTCAAGGTGTACCTGGAAACAACAGCAATTAATAGATGTTTCCATACTCCTCAAAACCTCATAGTCAGAGGCCTTGCTGCCAGATGTAGTTTATCATCATACCCAAGACTACAAGTCGCAAGAGCCACTCAAGGTAGAAGGTTACTGAATGAGATTGTTGTAAGGGCACAAGAGATGAGGACTGAGGTAAAGGTGCATCTTATAAGGATATGCAGGACCCTAGTTGACCCCACATTTGAAGGGGTTTTAGTGGTTTGGAAAGCATCCTCTCGGGAGTCAGTTCCACAAAGTAAGAGTTATAGAGAAGAAGTGGTCCAAGCAGAACTTCCTTCTTTCTTAATAAATACAAGGAAATTAGGATGATTTGATGCCATGTACGTTGCTTGGCAGATCCTAGAACTAGCGGAGTAAGCGCATGAATTCATAGCTGTTCACAAGTTAAATCCTGTTACTGAAAAATATTTCAACTAGTAATTCATTTCACCTTTTTAATCACCAGGAAAAAATAGTGAAAAGACTTTGCATCCAAAATCTTTTAGCCCAGTCTATAAAAAGAAATAGAAAATACAATTTTGTGTGTTAAACCCTGTGTCAAAGCAAAACCAACAGTAATTCCATTCAAGGTTGGTTTCACGTTTAACTCCCACTATGAACTTACATTTTTTCATCTACTAAATTTCACCCCTTACAAGTGTAGAGAATCACTCAACATAGAGGTTGACAGTCAAAATGATAATTATGAATAAGGTGCGTGATATGAATGGTGGTTTTCAACACACAGCTTAATTAGGCCCAAAATATGGGTCACCCAGTGAGGATCTAACTCACTATTCACTTTTAACTGGTCAAGGTTGTTAACCATTACACCACGTCAAAGTGCCCAAGGTGTGTGATATGAATAGAAGAGAAGGTGGTAGGAAGGAAAGTTGATGAGGATATGGAGGAAAGGTCATGATTGACTTTTGACCTTGATGTTATGGAATAACCTGCGACCCCCATGAGTGGCAGCATTCTATATGGTAACCACCTATAAGTATCCATTAGGACAGTGGACAGCAGAGTCAAGCTGGGATCTGTGAGAACTAGTGGCCTTCTGATAGCAGCACGCACACAACTGTACTGACTTGCAATGACCGTGTGCATAACTATTACTTCCTTGCTTGTTGTACTGGTTTCTACAATAAACCTGTTACTATTTATCAACCATGTTTGTCCATTCCATATTCCATATTAGCATGGAATATAACAGACCTGATGAGGTCAAGATTGAAATATCAAGTATATATATATTGATGTCACACATTCATACCAATAAACTATGTTGTATGCAGAAAGTAAAAAGCATGATTAACAGCTGAGCTTTACAATATTCTTAATTCAATGTTTATTTGTAAAAAGTTCTTTTGTTAATAGAAAAGTTCTGGCGTGGGAATCCTGTCATAAGCTTCACCACATTTGGAAATCCAACTTCAACTGATCCATGAAGTTGAGATTATTTCTGGCTACAGTAGTGTTTGTACTGCGCTGTGGTTGCAGCATATAGACACTCACCAAAACAGAGGAATCTTACCTTGACATAATCTTGCTGAGAATGAATGTCAATGTCTCATGGGTGGGGGGGGGGCAATATCACCAGAACAGTCCTGTATGGTTCTCTCCCCATGGATCACAGTAAAGGTCAGATAAAGAAGACTAAAAAATTACTGTACATTGCATATTTCATCCGAATGAGGATGCATCAAAACTTCTACAAAGGTGATACAAAACCGGGGAAGACAGGCTCACTCATTCATTGATTGCTTGTACAATGTCACTGAATTATATTCTGTTGAATTTGAGGAGGTCAGCACAGACAGAATGTTGTTTTTTTACATTCAAAATGAATGAACACTTTGTGAACATTGTTTTGGAAGGTTTATTTTCAAATACAAATTTGTATCCTTCTTTGGACAACTCTATAACTTGTGGTATGTTGAAATAGAGAAAAAGAAGGAGACTCTTCCTTCTTTGTTGCAGGAAGTTATCCTGATTATTTCTTTGTTGATTTGAGAAGAAAACCAGCCTGTTTTACTTTCTGGTTAAAGGGTAGTGAGAATGACCTCAAAGCCCTCTTATCCTGGATTTATATTGAGGTTGGTAAGTGGTCAGGGTGTGCAAGTAGAAATGTCTTTCACTTTGATATAGGGCCTTTGAGCTTTTGTTTTGCTTTTCCAAGTATCTGGTTTCAGGAACAAAGTTAACTAATTGACTTCTCTTTAAGAATGGTGGTGTTCATGTTATTGAGTTGTTAAGGAGATGATAGGTTGGCAGATTATCCTTTAGGCTAAAAAAGGCTGCAGCCTAGGGTCCCTCAAACTTTTATGATTTTAATTTTCTAGATGTTATAACTTCTAAAGAGTTTCATAAATTGAAATTATATCATTATGAAATATTATTTGACATATTTATTTGACTTTTCAAGAAAAGGAATTATCTCCCTTCAGCAAGATAAAATTATGTGGCTCAAGTGACAGCCACTTGGTGACATCACTTCATAGAGTGACAAAAGTCCCTAGTCCGTCATCTTCCAGGAGTTAAACTGAGCAGTTATTCAGTCCAGGATAAGACTAAATCTGCCTCCCTCAACCAGCTGCCACTTGGTGCAGCTTACAAGCTTATGGTGCTGTTACCCTTTGTGAATTTATCTTCACCAGATATAGAAACTATCCCTGGCTTGCAAGTCTTCAACTTGGGAAAAAACCCATGATTCATTGTTTCCTATTTGTTGTTCTTACTAGTGACATAGCAGATAAATCCAGCCTGCTCGAATCTGGAATCCTAAAAATGACTCCAGCATCTCCAATTTATATTGGAAATTATTACACACTACTTGTTGGGCAGACATGTGTTATATTTTCTCTGCATGGGACAAATGTAAATATGTGTATATCATTTTGTGTATGACTTAGTGATAATTCTCCCTGATAACAAAGCATGTTTGTCATTTCTTTCCTTTCAGGTATTCCATTCTGCCTGTGAAATAAGGTGTTATTACATCATGAATATAACAATACCTATAATGGAGGAAATGAAAATGGGAGAATATTCATTTATTCTATAACTCACCCATTATCTGGGTGACATCATTATTTAGTGAGTATGACATGATATTATTAACCCCCATTATTAATAACATATTTGATTTTAGTTCAGAATGTTTAAATTTTAGAATTTTTTATAAAGCAATGATTTTAATTTTCTAGAGGTTATAATTTGTAGTTTCAGAAACTGAAATAATATCAATATAAAAAACTCATATTTATTTTGATTGTTTTATTGTTACAAGGCTGGTTATAAAAATCACTTTTTTTTACTATTAAATATGTGCTAATTCTGTTTGCATTAAATGGTAAAATTGTGGTATTTCTTAAAGAATATTTTATAGACAAACAAGTTAGCTGTTCTAATTTATTTAAGGAATTCACAATAAGTTTACTTCAAGCCATGTAAATGTCATTAAAATATATCACAAGTTCAAGATGGGTGCAAGTGAGTTAGAAAATGGATCCCTCTGAGGAGGGGAAGCATAATTTCATTGGCCCATGGGCTCCATAAATCATAATCTGATCCTTTTAGTAGGTGATTCTTTTCAGAGATGTTTTAAGAAACATTTTTATTTTATTATATTTATTAAACTTAGCCCACTACTACAAACTCAGAACTATGATGCAAAACTGAAAATACTGGAGAGAAATTGCCTACATGGGTCAGATTTATATTCAACCTAAAATAACAAACTTTGTTGAACACTAGTTCCCATATGATCACCAAAGTTAAGCAACATCGAGCATAGTCAGTACATAGATGGGTAACTACTTGTGAATACCAGGTGCTGTAAGCTTGAATGTGAAGGTGGTGTGAGAGATAACGGCTCAGATTTCGGAAATCAGAGAGCCAAGTTCCAATTGTAGCTATTGTTAGATGCCTATTTTATTAGTGTCAGAATTGTTAATTGGAGAGCCAAGTTCCAATTCTAGTTTGGCTCATTACATTCACTTTATATTTGTTGTATTCATGCAAATATCCTTGGGAAAGATCAACCTCTTCTCCCCAACTATGGGTTAATTAGTAAGACTTGTATTACTAAATCCTTATTATCTTTAAAAAAAATACTTACAATCTAAAAACATTTTATAGCTTTAAATTACCTGCAATTAATCAATCAATTATACTTGTCTGACTAACAAAATTTGTTAACATTGTGACATGAAGTCTTACTGGTTTTGTCTTGTGGAGTAATGGATAGCAGCTCGGATTGAAGAATCGGAGAGCCAAGTTCAAATTCCATTCGAATTCATTACATTAATTTACATGCTAATACCCTTGGGGAAGGTATGAATCCTCTTTTTCTCCTCCCAGCTATTGTTAAATAGCAGGACAGACCAGTTTCTATAGTCTTGGATGGCAACTGGTCTACTGCAGAAAGAAATGACAACCTACTTCAGGAAAAAATCTACCTCGGCAGTCATGTATCTTTCGATACATGATTGCCTACGTATGGCACATAACTGAATAACTTTCAGTTTATAACTGTTCTAAATGCTTCACATATAGAAGGTACATACCCAAACTCTTTATGTAGTTCTCAAACAAATCATTTAATGTTAATATCATTTCAACTGTTATTAATAGAAAACATTTATGAACAACATCAAAATATGAAATCAGTGTTGTACTTACCTCCCCTTGTTCTTCCTGGCTTGTACTATTGCATTGCAAATAGTAGGATTTTTCTTTTAAGTCAGGTTGTGTTATATAACTAAGAGATCGGCAGCTAGCAGCTTTTGCAGACATACTCTTTACTGGCGTGCTCCACATCTCTTTTTTTTCCTGACTTTGACTAGCCTGAAAAATGTGAAATTCAGTTAATATAAAGTACCAATCATAACTATGCATATTTACGATCAGAAAATCAATTCATACAAGTATCCTCATAAGTTTATAGGTTTATTTTGTTTTACAAAATATCAACTACAATGGATTATTTAATGCTGACAATATTTTAAAGTTAGGTTTATATGACTAGAATATGTATTAATATTTTTTTTTTAAATGTATTGCTGGTAATATTTTTTTTTCAAAAATGTATTGCTGATAATATATTTTTTTTTCCAAAAATGTATTGCTGGTAATACTTTTTCCAAAAATGTATTGCTGGTATTTTTACTATAAAAATCTATTTTTATTCTTTCATAGTGTTTTGACCTTAGTTTGGGCATTCACTATTTACCCATAGATGGAACCCTAGCAGGTGCTACCACCCCAGGTCAAGGTGGGCCTGAGAACAACAGCAATTTCCTGATCAGAGGCCTTACTGTTGAATGTAGTTTATCATCATACTCAGGACGCCTAAGTATTCTCAATCAATGATTAAAAATAGCTTGAAGTGAATGATCCCTGTAGGTCTTAAAGAAGACAATCCATCGTCAGATCTTATTGACTGGTGCCACAGAATCAAGAACAAAGACTTTTACAGAAACCACATCACTTGAAAACTCCCAACAGCAGCAACAACTAAAATGGATAGCACCTGTCACTCTAAGAGAAAATAATGACATAATCAAGATGTTGACATTCCACACTACTTCAAAGAAAAGGTTAGAAAAAATCCTCCCCCCCCATCAATACTGGAAAGAACAATAACTGTGGACTTAAGATATTTTCCTGAAAAATTGTTTCAAAAGAAAGATTTCATAAATTTCAACCGGAAGTAACACTAACTGTTTGATCAATGAATGCCAAATGTTTTCTTATATAACAAATCTCACCATTACCATGTTGGGGAAGCCATATTTCCAAGTATATACTTCAGACGTGTGGGCATGTTGGCATGGTGTAATGGTTAACAAGCTTGTCTCACTAGATCAGTTACACCTAAAAAGTGAGTTTGATCCTTACTAGATGCCCTATACTTTCAGCCTTGAGCTACATCTAAGCTACACTTAGAAAATAACCATTTGGCCACCTCGAGGCGATGTAATGGTTAACAAGTTGTTTCATAAAAGTAGATATTATATCCATGTCTGCAGCTATCTATTTGGATGGTGGTCACTTTTGGAGTTGTCATCCTCAATGCAGGAAATGAAGTTGGTACCAAGAAAGCAACATTTCATGATTGAATAATGATACTATTGATTGGATAAAAGAGTTTGTTATAAAATATTGAAATCTTTTGCATAAACTTAACACATCAAAAAGATTATGTATGTATTCCAGTTTTATAATTTGTTTTCAATTTTCAGTTTTGATTGTGTTATCGTGGAACACACCTATTCTATAGTTAATAGACTCTTGCACCTATAATAAGTAGGAGTAGTAAAAGTAACCAGTAAGTCGGTCAGTCAGTTGACTGGCTGTTCAGTTGAACTCTCAGAACACGAAGGAGGCTACGCTGAAGGGCGGACTCTCTTTCAGGGAGGTAAACCGGCCCTGAACCTGTTTATACGGGCTCAATGGGCATATTTTTGGGCCGAGCCCACAGGCTTGGAAATCCCACATTAAAAACGGCCTTGTGCCACATGACGCCCCAGTGGGGGGGGGTGACTGAATAGCATTGGTCAGTCATTCGACTGGCTGATCAGTTGAACTCTCTGTCTTTGGGCGAGGAGGAACCCGAAGGAGGCTCTGCCGAAGGGCGGATTCTCTTTCGGGGAGGTAAACCGACCCTGAACCCGTTTATGCGGGTTCAATGGACATATTTTTGGCTGAGCCAATGGGCTCGGAGATCCCACGTTAAAAAGGCCTTGTGCCACATGACACCCTTGTGTGGGGGGTGACTGAATATCGTCGGGCAGTGAGTTGGTCAGTCAGTCGATGTCGGACGACCGTTAGTCATATATTAAAGTATCAGCCACTACAACTAGATTACTGCGTCATTACCTATTATATCAAGTTCCTAACGTTTTGTACGTCGAACCTATTTTAGGACCGACTTAGTACAAATACTTGGCGACGAGGATGAGATCCGAACTCATGCAGGGAGACCCCCAAGTCGTTATGTAGTGATTTCACAGTGAAGGCTTATATTTGTACTAAGTCGGTCCTAAAATAAGTTTGACGTACAAAACGTTAGGAACTTCAAATAATAGGTATGACGCAGTAATCTAGTTGTGGTGGCTGATACTTTAATATCCGACTAACGGTCATACGACATCAACTGACTGACCAACTCACTGCCAACTCAATGACTGCTACTACTCCTACTTATTATAGGTGGGAGAGTCTATTAACAATAGAATAGGTGTGTTCCACTATAACAGACTGCCACCATACGAGGCATAACTGATCATTTGTCAAACATCACTCAAGTATTCTAACCCATCACAAATGATCATCTGTCAGACATCTTTAAATTATTCTAGCCCATCCCAAGAGACCATCTATCAGACACTTGCCATTTATTGTAGCCCTTCACAAAAGAACAACTGTCATTTATTCTAAGGGATTGGACTGGATCTAGCCTTGAAGGGATTTTGACCAGTCCATTAGAATTGATGTTCAATAAGTCAACTCAACTCATTAGACTTATAAGTCAAGGCAAGTCATAACCAGAGGTTGAATTTGCACTCTGTTGGACCAGGCCAGTTCAGTCTGACACCAAAATTTACTTGAAAATTCAGTCCAAGTTCAGTTGAAAAAGTTTAGTTTCAAATTCCACTGTAGATCAGTAGCTTGACCAAAAAACGCATTCACTCAGGCTATTTTTTGCTTTGTTCTGCACAGGAATAGCACAAAACCAAAGAGAAAAGAAGAAACAATTTTTAGGTTCAGTTCAAAATTATTTGATTATATGGTTGCTTTGCAATGACAATTTTTTAGTCTTTCCATTCTTAAAATATTGTGAATAAATTTTGCAGTAAATGACTCATGAGTCAATTCGAACCGAGTCATGACTCAACTTTAACTCAACTTACATCATTTTTTATTTTAAAATTTGATTTGACTCAAACTGAGCCGAGTCTTGCATATCATTACCTGCAACTGAACAAAGAAAATTGTGATTTTCCAACCAACTGATGTGTATGAATTTTGGTATGAATATTTTTGTTCAACCTTGGTGTTTATTTAAAATTAAAATTTATTGTAATATGAAGGACAAGGCTTTTGAATACAATAAAAGGCCTGCTGTTATATCTTTCCACAAATCTTCTGATTCATCCTATCTAATGTCCACCACCAACCGGATGTGAACACTATGACAGCAAAAACACAATTAAAAATGCATTGTGCATGCAGGGTTCTGCACATCATTTCTGCTCACACAACACAAAAATAATAACAATAATAATAATAATATATAAAAGTTATAGCCATGTTATTAGCCATAATCAACTGGTATTATAAGAATTGTAATATGAGAAATGAGTTTTTGAATAAAATAAAATGGTTGCCATTAAAAAAATTGAATTATTCAGTTGCAAAATTAGTAAAAACATTGAATTATTGCTTTTTAACAATGATTAATTCATTTAAACATTTATAAAATTAATCTCTATGAACTTATATAATTTGGCTCTGTATTCTTGTACAAAACTCTAATAGTTTTAATTTCAATTTAAATTTTAGTATTTATTTGTAGGAAAAATTTTGATGACGATGAAGGCAAAATGAAGAAAGGTAGATGCTGAATGCCGAATTTTCCAAGATACTTGGACATTAGATTACTTCTTTATTGAGCACAGTGGGAACCTGGTTTGTCTCATATGTCTAGAAAGCATTGCTGTGAATAAGGTAACAAATATTAGGCAGCCTTATGAGACACACCTTTGTGAAAATTTTAGGAAATTTACTGGACAAGCAAGGAAAGATGAAGTTGAGTCATTGAAGTCTAGATTTGAAAACCAAACATCATTTTTTAAAAAGAGAAAAGGTGAAAATGTAGCAAATACAATTGCTACTATTAAGTCTCAAAACACATCACTGAAAAGATAAAACCTTTTACAGATAATGATTTTTAAAAAATGCTTACTGGCAGTGTTGGATATTGTTTGTCCAGAAAAAAAGGCTTTATTTGAAGCTATCAGCCTGTCTCTGAGGACGGTCACATGACTGGTTGAAATGTCAGCATATGTTAAAAATCAATTAATCAACACCTGCAGTGAATTACAATATTTTTCAATTGCAGTTGATGACAATACAGACTTAATTGACACTGCACAACTTGCTGTCTTTGTGCAAGGAGTGACTTCAACTTTTCAAATCTTTGAAGAATTGATTCAGTTAATTCCTATGAAAGAAACCATAACTGAAGCAGACATCTTTGAAGCTTTGTTGAAAACGATATCAGAAATGAAGATTGTTTTTTCAAAGGTAATTGGCATCACAACTGATGGTGCCTCAGCAATGGTAGAACAAAAAGGCTTTGTTGCACTACTGCAAGAACATATGGAAAGCCTTGAAATCACATATAAACTTGTTAAAATTCATTGCATTATCCATCAAGAGATATTGTGCACCAAATCTGTGAAATTTAAGAATGTCATGGATATTGTTGTGGAGACCATGAACTTGATCCTATCTCATTGATTAAATCATCACCAATTTAAACAGTTTTTGCTAGGTACTGAGGCAGAATATGCTGACTTTGCTTATTTCTGCAATGTACACTGGCTTAGCTGAGGATCAATGCTCATGACAGTACTTGCCTTACACTTGAAAGGAAATTAGTAGATAATTCAAATTTTCGAGATCCTGATTGCCTTGCAACTTTGGCAATTATTGTGGATATTGTAATTCATTTAAATAACTTAAATTTACAGCTTCAAGATAAAACTCAGCTTGTAAATGAAATGTATAGCCATGTTGTTGCCTTTGCAAAAAGCTACAGTTGTGAGAACATCAACTTCGAAATAAAAATTATGCATATTTTGAATCATTTCAAGGAAGGAAACCACAGGATTCATGGGTATTTGTGAATATAATCCAAGATTTCAGAAATGAGTTTGCATCATGTTTTGCTGACTTTCGTCTGCATGCAAATAAGTTTACATTGTTTGTGCTACTATTTGATGTGGAGGTGGGAGACAGCATCAGAATGTTTTCAAATGGAATTCATTGATATGTAGTGTGACAACTTATTGAGATCTAAATTTAATTCAAAAGATGTTTCATTGATTGCAAAGCACTTATCAGTATGAGCAATTATTTTCCTAATTAAAGCAAAAGAACAATTTGACAACAAAATTAGCTGATAATCATCTTGATAATATCTTGCTTTTGGCTTCAACAAGTTTGAAGAAGTTTGATATTGAGAAGCTTTCAAAGAATAAAAAACATCAAATTTCGCATTAATTTTTTGCCTGCTATGTATTTTTAAGATTTTTTTTTTTAAACAAATGATTCCAATGATGTCTTAAATCAAATAAATGATGTTTTTTAATTACTACATTCATCTGTGGTTAATAAAAAGTATTTTTAATATAATCAACACCAGTGATTAGATTTTAGCATATGTAATTTTCCATAATTATTCTTTTATGGACTTCATAAGCCCCACTATCTAATATTAACACTCAATCTAGCCCTAAATCTGTTAATTATTCTAACCCATCACAAGTGAATATCTGTCAGACATTTACCAATTATTTTAACACATTACAATAGATCATCTGTCAGATATCTGCCTGTTATTCTAACCCATCACAAATTATCAAAAAGATATTATAAAAACCATGAGTGTAGTTATAGTTCTCTAAATTTCCAAATACCAACCTTGATCTCTAAAGTACTCAGTGGGTCCATGGAGACCATTTCTTGGCATTCCCTGAAGAAGAAGGAAAAATTGACAAGACAGGTTATCATCTTTTGGGAAAAAAACCTCAGAAATATAGAAAAAAATAAAAAAAACGTAATTCTCTCCTTTCTATAAGTGGGGTTATAAAATTGCACAGAAAATCAAAAACCTTTTCCAGGTTCTTTTATTACAAGCATAATGTGAAAATGTATTTTTTTTTAATTTTTATTTTTTTATTCTTTATTATTACTTATTTAATTTTATTTCATTTTCCCACAACTCGGACTTACAAAAGATTTTTGATAAATTATATCTAATAAGATTGATTGAAGAATAATGTTTATGTGTGTTGTTTTGTTGTTCTGCATGAGTTGCCCACTATCTGGGAACAAGGGACTGATGAAGAACTTTTAAAAAATATGAAAATCCTTTACTCTCTTGGCATTTTCCATCTCCAGCACCGTCCATAACCATCCCAGTCCATATTGTTCAGGTTGATGATCTTGTAATGCTTCCAGCTTTCTTTGACCCTCTTAATTATAGAGCCATTTGGTTCTAAACATTCCAAGAAACAAGACAACAAAAAACAAATAAATATTAAAATCATTTAACAGACAGAAGTCAGAACATAAAGGTATTCAAAGTGTAAAACAACATTGAATTTAGAGGGTTGGGGGTCACGTCACAGTCACCATTGGAAAGTGGTTTAGGACACTTTGCCATCACACAGTGATAACTATATGCATTTTGCTTTATAAATAATCCCCTTGAAATTAGACCTTTGAGGTTTATTTGTTCTACAATTTTGTATTTTTTCTAATATTTTTATTAAAAAAATTATTTAAATATAAAAATAACAATAATAATTAAAATAATTATTTAAAGTGTCATTTTTTAAATAATTATATTAGATAAAACAGTTGACTTAAATGTTAGATTAAAACAAAAACAATCCATTCTTCCACATTTTGAATATTGCTGCCTGATATGTCCCAGAAAGGGATATATTTGTTTGAAGTAGCAAAGTGGTTTTGGACTACTGTAACTGAGTAGGACAATCTAGCAGGTAACCGTAATGGACTGGTCCTCGTCGTAGTGGTAGGCAATAGGTGTCGCCAATAGGCATCGTCCTGTACCTCCACATCAGTCTGTATTTATGGCTGGGAACCAGGTGTATGCATATTCATTACATCACTGCCACACCTGGTGCTCCTGATAATGCCTAATAAACAAAAATGTGTAGGAAAAAATATGTCCTACTCACTAATCACTCCAGGATAAGCATTGCCTTCACTGCTTTCATCACCACTGACAGACCGTTTTCAACTACTAACCAATTTATTGTTAGTGCAAGAAAACCCAGAAAAAATATTATGAAATTCTGCAGAAATATATACATGAGTTTTGTTTCTAGTCACAACCATTTTTAAATACCATGATTTTGTGTCTTGTGAGTATTCATGACAAAACTTAGGTCAATGGATTTGATTATGCATGTGATTATGAAACAAACACACAAGCAAGTATTTCAATATTTCTTTTTTTAATCATTTCACCCCAAGCAAGGCAATAAAGTCACAAATACACAAGGTGATTACAGAGTTTAAAAGAATAAGAAAAAAAAACATTATTAAGGGGTGAGAAAAAATAAAAGAAGAGGAATCAAGAAGACAGTAGATAATGATTGACATCGCATTTAATTTTTTAGGATCAAAGTTGATTGGGAATCAAGAAGCTGGAAGAGTGTTCCACATGCAAGAAGTGCAAAAGAATAAACTGTTGCCATAGGACTTATGGTTACTTTTTGCTATTCCATCTGTAAATTGATGAGACCTTGTTGCTCTTAAATTCATAAAGTCTAGGTACCATAGGGGAAAGTTCATCAGAACGAATACCATGAAAGTATTCATAGAAAAGACACAGAGAAACTACATTACGGTGGTAGAAAACTGACTGAATGTGAGATGCAAGATCAGAACTAATGACATTGTAGATTCTTTGGATTTTATCAAGAATCTCTAAATATAGAGTATGATCACCAGACCAGATGTGGCAGCAATATTCGAAGCAAGGACAAATGGCAGACATATAAATATGTAAGATAGATTCTGATGAGAAAATTGTCTAGCTCAGCACAGTGAGTCTTCTGTTAAAACACTTCCCAGATATTTAAATTGTTGTACTTATTTGATTTTAGAATTTTTCATTTTGTAAATTGCATGTTGGGCTGTTCCTTTTGCTTACAACTATGTGTTCTGTCTTCTTACAAATGATGTTTAGTCCTTTCTTCATGCTTTCCTTCACTACTATCTGTAGGAGTTCTTTTTGTTTCCTTTAAATATACTGCAACTAATATGCTTTTGCAATTTTTTTATTGTCATACACACAAATCTAACTAGCAAAAACAACTTTCTTAATTAGTAGTGATATAGGATTATGCTCATTAAATGAGTTAGTAGTGGAAGAATGGCTCTTTAATTGAACATGATTGCTCAAAGCATATGGAAGCAACCCTCTAATTTATCACAAATCATTCTCATCTGATCTTTTGTCCTGGGATGAGTATAGGAATGGATTTATAAGTTTACCTAATTAAGCTGACAGCAGGGAGGAATTCAGTCTCCATCAAAGAGGAACAGTTTGGCCAACTCAAAGTTTACCCAAGAGAGTGCTACAAGGAGAGAACCCTATTTGACTCTCTTCCCTTTCCTCATTTCCAAAACCTAGTATCAACCATCCTGTCTCATTTTTGAAGCACATGAATAGATCAGAATGATTCCTTCAACTGTTTTTCATCATTCATGATTGTTTTGACACTGCAGTCACCTTACAATCACACTTCTGCATTCAGCCACAGTAATCACCCAAAAACCCAATCAGATGTCGGTCCAATGCACAATGGTGCAACTTCTAAAATCATCTTTTATAACCAGGGCCTGTGCATGCTAATCCAAAAAACCCCTGACCCCCACCAGCCAGGGGGCATAAGCCTAATTAGGGGCCCCAGGTAATGCTTTGTGGCTTTTTCTATCTTATCAACATTTGCTTTTTTGTACCTACATTTATATATATATATTACAAATTAAACTAAGCACAACTGTCTACTAAAGGTTTAAAAAGATTTTGACATCATTCTGGGGTCTTTTTTTTTCATCCAAGTACATGAATTTATTTTGCTCATGCTAAAAAAAAAATACTATGTAAAATTCACTATTTTTTTTAACCATAATGTTGATTTTTTTTTTTTTTTTAAGCATTTCACCCCAAGCAAGGCAGGATGCCACTAGTACGCAGGGGGTTACAGAGTGGGAACGAGAGTAAAGAGGTGTGATGGAGGAAAGGATAAAGAGAAGGGCAGAGGATAGTTCAGGGCATCTGGAAATGTCGATTGACATTACATTTGAATAGTTGGAGATTATAGCTATCAGGGAAACAAGTAATAGGAAGGGAATTCCACAGACGGGAGGTGCGAGACATAAAACTATTGGAGTAGAAAAGATGGCCACATTTAACCGTTTCGACAGTGAAAGGGTGGGACCATGATGCCAGCCTAGTAGCACGCTTAAATTCATGCAGTCTGGAAACTAGTAAAAGTAGCTTGTCAGAGCAGTTACCATGAAAGTATTTGTAGAAAAGACAGGGGGAGGCAACGGTATGTCTGTGTGAGAGCAACAGAAGAGAAGATGCCGGATCAGGACCAACCACATTGCTTATCCTTCAATTTTTTAACAAGAAAAATCTCAAGTTGATGATAAAAATTTCTGCGAAACATTGTTGATTTATTTAAGATGGAATGATCTATTATGACATGCCTCTAATTTGTATATAAATACATTGTATTTATTTTCAATTTTTCTAGTTGAATTGTTCACCTATATTGTATATGATCCATTATTGTATATAATTAGGTTACAATAAAATTTGTATTTTATATGAATACAACCTTATGAAAATTGAGATGTAATAGAATGTTGGGATATATCATGGATTCAGGGGTATCATAGATTTGGGAGGAAGTATCATAGATTCAGTGGGAACCCACAAGACCCATGCACCAACCCTGTCGATAACTATCATTTAAAGCAAAAATAAATTACTAGCTCTAAAAACTTACCTAAAACTCCATCAATGTAGACTTTGGCTGTGTATTTTGAAGGAAGTGCAATGATTTTGCCAAAAACCTAGAGAAAATAACAGTTGAAACACCTTAAAGAAATATAACAAAAGTAAGCATCCATACAATAGGAATGATGCTCATTCTGGAAAAACAGGAAATTCTAAAAATGCATTGTATGCAGAGAATTACTTATAAAACCCTATATATTTCTAAATATGAAATGCAGTACTTACCTGTTTTCCAAGTATAACATTTTCACCAATTCCTACAAAGATAAATGACAGTCTGAGATTTTGAGATGAGTGTTTAATATTCAATGCGTTTTATTTTTTAAATATTTTCTTCTGTTTAAGGAATGATACTGGAACAATACCAAATTCACATACATGGAGTAAAAAAACTTCACTTCTTCCAGATTTGGTTTACAGAAGGTGAAATCAAATAGGAAAAAAGAAAAATACAATTAAGGGTAATTTATAGACAGACCATCCATTAATACAACAACAGTGACATTCGCCTAAACAGAGCAAAAAATATATAAACAAAAGGACAGAGCCCAAAGATTACATTATAAGTAGAAGATAAAATTCTGAAGATGCCTTTACCTGATGAAGTTAGAGAAATGACTGACCAAAAATTTGTGAAAGAATATCTTTAAAGATAAGGATAAACTTAAAAAATATAAAAAGAAGGAAATATTTTTAACTCATTAATGAAAATGGTAATATCCAGTATTAATTATAAAATTTAAATAAAAAAACAGGTAATAATTATAGGTTTTAGAAAATGAACATGCTATTTTGGCAGTCCCGGTAATTAAACACCAAGGCTATTTTGAAAGTAAAACAATATTAATTCAGTATAGCCATGGAACTCAGTGTTGGAAATACTTTCAGTTCATTTGCTGAACTAGAAGAAAAACTGAAAAGTTACCAATCTACTATATACAGTTGTAGAAAAGAGACAGCAGTGGTTGTGTGAGTTGCATAGGCAGGACTTCAACAACATGGATACTGTGGTCTATGATTTGTCTTCACTGGGTACACTTGAAGTGTATTGGCAAGAGAACCATGCTCAAGGGCAACTTTGGGATTTGAAGAGACTGTTATGCCTGAAGTGCTTAAAATATTCAGAGACTTCTCTATCTTTTTTAATAAGTGATAATGAACAAATGATTTTAATATGTGTTTTAATAATTGATGGTGGAAAAGATTTTAAATTGTCTTAACAATTAGTGGTGAAAATAAACAAACTTCTGTGTTAAATCTGTGTATTGTTATTTTTAAAATTACCTGCCTTCATAATAATAAAAATATTTACTGGCAAAATAGCCAGGGGCTTTACTTTACGAAGGCGGGTAAAATAAGCATAAAAGCATGTTTGTCTATTTTACCGGGACCAGTAAAATAGCCTCTTCGTTTGAGAAATGTCCACTATTAATTAAAAAAAATCCAGTGTTAATTATAGGTTTAGAAAAAAGTGTGGTATTAATTATAGGTTTCTAAAAAAAAAAACAGTATTAATTATAGGTTTAGAAAAAATGTCTGATATTAATTATGGGTTTCTAAAAACAAAATAGTATTAATTATAGATTTAGAAAAAATGCCTGATATTAATTATAGGTTTCTAAAAATAGCCTAGTATTAATTATAGGTTTAGAAAAAGTCTGGTAGTAATTATATGTTTCTAAAAAAAACATCCAGTTTTAGGTTTTAAAAAAAAAGTCTGATATTAATTATAGGTTTCTAAGAAAAAAAACTATTAATCATAAGTTTAGAAAAAATGTCTGATATTAATTATAGGTTTCTAAAAATGACCAGTATTAATTATAAGTTTAGAAAAAATGTTTGGTATTAATTATAGGTTTCTAAAAACAAAACAGTATTAATTATACATTTCTAAAAAATAGGCTGCTATTAACTATAGGTTTCAAAAACATGCAATATTAATCATAGGCGTCTATATTGTTTCTATATCTGGTGTGGTGCTCCTACTGTGCATCTTGAGATTCTTGACAAATTCCAGAGAAGCTTTCTGCAATATAATTGATCCTGACCAGGCAGATTGTCTCCAGACACTTTCTCACCAATGTGACATGGCTAACCTCTGCTTTCATGGCTTTTATACCTGGTGACCCAGTTGCATGAATTTAAGCGTGCTACTAGATTGGCAATTAGGTCTCACCATTTTACCTGTTGAACTAGCTACATGCAACTGCCATTTCTACTCTAACAGTTTTTTTTTTCTTGAACTTCCCAACTGTGGAACTCCCTTTGGATTTCTAGATTCACTGATAACTACAATCTTCAAAACTTTAAATGCAGCATCAATTGCGATCTTCTTGACCCCTTTTTTTGTCCTTTTCTCAATCCTCCCCATTCTCACTCTTCTCATTCTCTTTCCCTTTCACTTCCTGTAACTCCCTGTGTCCTAGTGGCATTGTCACTTTACTTGGAAGTGAAACAAAAAATAAATAAATAAAAAATATAATCCATCAATGCCCACCATCCAAAAATGGGACAATGGGTATTAATCAATTGATAGATAACTGGTGTTTGCATAAAAATTAAATTTAGACAAAAATGAAAGAAGAAAATTAACTTACGAGGTATGTGTTTTTTCGTAGTAGATTGAGCAGAGACATTTCTGTCTGGAATTTTCAAAGTCTGTTGAATCACATAACGCGTCTTGGAGACATTCTTCTTAAAAGGATTCAGCTAGAATAACAATATTATTTGATGGTCACATCTCACTTTAATCAAAATTATCGAACATGGAGATAAACAGAGAGTCATATATTAGGTTGATGCAAAAGTTCCCATCACTAACTTTTGTGTAATGCTAGGGAAATTTTAGAAGTGTCTGATGTTTATGTAGTATGTGGTTCACACCAGGAAATGCTGGAGGTCTGAACTGAATTTAATGTTCATCTTTATCTAAGAAGACTAAGAAGAGTAATATTTGAATATATTAGTATATATATATATATATATATATATATATATATATATAGATATATATATAGTAGCTCCTACTGCTATTAACACATTTCACCTTCAACTGAATTGAGCTCTTTGGGCCACTGGCATATTTTGTATAGAAAATGTTAGAATTTCCAATTCTTTCTGCCATGAAAAAATAGCCTAGGGGCAGGACCTCTGACTGATGCCAAATTGGTTGGGTTTCAATCCTGGCATACAGTCTGTCTGTGGATGACAATATATATATATATATATATATATATATATATATATACACACAAGTTTCATTAAAAACAACTGGCAAGAAACTGCAGTTAATTTTTCATGTGTTCTCATAATTTTTTTTTATTTTCTGGACATAAATTATGCAGAAATTGTCCAAATGTTCTGTATGTCCAAGTACTTTTGGCTGTACTTTTAGCCATTATCAAGGATGATTTTATTTTTACTTTTAACTGAGTGTATGAATTTTTTATATTAAAAGTAAAAATAAAATCATACTTGATGATGGTTAAAAGCATAGTCAAAAACACTTGGACATATAGAACATTAGGACAATTTCTATATAATCTATGTCCAAGAATTAAAAAAATTATGAGAATACATGAAAAATTAAATAAAAAACTTAATTATAGTTCCTCGGCCCAGATGTTTTTAATGAAACTTATATAAAAGAGGGATTGATGCCAAAATAGAAAATTTTATATATATATATATATATATATAAAGGGAAGAGGTTATAGTTGTTCCAACAAGAGAAAAGTGTATATATTAAAGAAAAGAGAGAATTATTATGGAAAGTAAAGCATAATATATATTTTTTTTTTAAATCCACATTACAACCAAAAACGTTTGTGGTTTCTCTCTCTCTTTTATATATATATATATATATATATATTACGTACTAAACACTTCAAGTACATCAGTGTATGGATCAGTTATAACAAATTTAATATAGGATATTAAAGAAATTGAACATAGAATAGGCTGTGCTAGGCTGCAACAAAAGTAAAAACATCAACTTGAAATCTCAAGTCCTGTTCTTAAATAGCTTCACCAGATTGAGACTGATCGTACTCTCGTTCATGATAACAAACTGTTAGTTGTGTACAACCACTTTCTCAGATCAATGACTAAAAATCACTTTGAATGAATGACACTAGCAGCTCTTAGTGAGAACCACATGTCTTCTGGATTGATGATGCAGAATCACAAAGATCTGTACCAAATAACAGAAACCACATTACTTGAGAACTTTCAACAACGCCAACAACTAAAATGAATAGGACGTATGACACAAAGAGAAAATGATGGCATTATCAAGATATTGACCATTTCTCACCATTTCAAACAAAAGGTTAGGAAGTAAAACCCCCATCAGTACTGGAAAAAGCAATAACAGTTTCTGGACTTGAGAATTTTATTTTCCTGAAAAGTTGTTTTAAAAGAAAGATTTTGTAAATTTCAACTGAAAGTAGTACTAGCTGCTTGGTCAATGAAAGCTGAATGTTTCCTTATAATGAAACAGCTAATGTTAACATTACCATTTGAATGTATACTCTTTCAAAATGTTCATATTTGAAGCTATAATAAAACTTTGTACTCTGCATAGATTGTTTGAAGTAATAAAAACTGTAATGAGCATGCGCAGAAACGTCCTCAAACTGCGTGTGTGTGTTGTCGCCGGGCACACCTTGGAGTACCATAATGGACTCGACCGAGGACTATAAGAAGAAGATGCACAAGTCGTTTGGTGTCTTTTCTTGGGCGACAAAAGCCGTTGCGGTCGGTCGTCCGTCGGCAGCAGTCTTGGGTGCCGTTTTGCTTGTTGGCTGTTGTAAAGTGTTGTGTCGCAAGTAGGCGTTGGTTTTTGTGTAGCATTCGTTTCTGGTTCGCAAGAAGGTGTTCGTTTTTTGGTTCGCAAGAAGTTGGGTTTTTTGGGGTTTTTTTTCGCACACAAAAACTAGAGGACATTTTGATGGCTGAACAATAATGCTATGAATTTCTATGACTAAAAGACTTTGTCCTCAAAACTACTGGAATCTTTAGTATCAACTTAATAAATAATCTATACAGGTTAAATTCTTTGAGAGATAAAAAGACATACATGGGTTCAGTTTGATAAAATTAGCAAAAGATCTTGCGCAACAAGCTGCCCAGTCCACTGCTGATATCCTTACTGTGATTACCCACAGAATTAGTGAAGCACTTGACAAGTACATCTCAAGGACAGTCACATTAGATATTTCAAAAGGCCTTTGACAAACTGTGGCATGAGAGCTCAAGCTCTCTATCTATGGAATTTCTAAAAGAGTTTTCTTAGTTATAAAGTCTTTCCTAACAGGTAGGTCCTTGAAGGAAGTTGCTAATGGCTAGACCTCTGAATCTCAGGTAATCGACATGGGTGTTCCCTGAGGTTCACTTCTCGGTCCAACCCTCTTCCTCCGCTATATAAATGATCTGCCTAAGTATATACACCAATCATTTGTGAATATTTATGCTGATCATACGATACATGGGTGCATCTCCAAAACCCTTGATGACCAGAGCTTGACAACTGATCTCACCTCTGAACTAGTTCTAGCAGCTCAGCGAGGGGGGTATTGGGGGGGGGGACCAGGCCAATCACATTCAATGCCTAAAAAACCAAACTAGTGAGCTTTCACCATTGCTGAACAGTTCCAGAACTTTCAACAATCATGATGAATGGATGGTCTCTCAGGAAGGCCCTGTGCCTTGAGCATCTATTGGGCCTAAAAACTCAACCCAGACCTCAAATAGAACTTATACCCATCGCTAAAGATGCAGGAACAATGGATGGTTCCCTGTACCACTCTAGTAAGTACCTGACACCTATAGCTATCCTCTACCTTTACAAGTGCCAGATCAGGTCTAAAACGAAATACTGCTGTTATATTTGGGCAAGAGCTGCCCAGACCTCACTTTCCAGTCTTGATAGAATCCAAAAGCATCTCTGTGTCTATATGGGGGACAAATTATTTTCCACCCTCTAAACCCCTCTCTTACAGACAAGATATCACAAACCTCTTACTGCTCTATTGCTACTTCCATGAAAAGTGTTCAGATGAACTACATTGCTTAGTTCCACCGTTTATAACCTTCACTACTAGAACCCACCATGTTATGTACATTGTAGCAAACTACCCTCATTCCCTCCATATTCCACTGGTGAGAAGTAAGTTCCAATCAAGCAGCTTCTTCCTGAAAACCACTGCTCTTTGGAACCAACTCCCAAGAGGATGTTTTCCCAATCTGTCTTAACCTGGTCATGTTTAGAGTTAACAGTTATCTTCTCCACCTATCAGCATAAACTTCACCTCTTACTTCTGTAACCCTCTATCCTGAGTGGCTTCCAGGCCTTATTGAACTTCACTGTAAAAAAAATTAATATCTTACATAAAGAATCTCTTCACAGCTTGTAAGCTTGGGATCCTTTGATGTCACTTCTTTTAAGTGTTTCTGGATCATGACAGAGAGCATTTCACTTAGCTCTCGTTGCCAGGAGCCAACAACAGTCCCATATCCAGGATTCTCTTTCTGATCTCCTTCAGAAATTTCATTACAGCTTTTGGGCTGAAAGAAAGAAAAACAAAAGTCAATAAATTACTTATGGCTATCTGGAACATCCCTCCTTCTATAATAATATTTAGAAACAGTTTAGATCATGATTAAGTGACACCCTAAAAAGAGTTTGATTTGTTTTACTGACTAATGACTTTGAATCGGTGAAGTCAGTAGCTCTTAATGAGGACCCTGCTTCTTCAAAACTTGTGGAATGGCACTACAGTATCACAAAAAAAGATCTGTACCAAATAATAGACACCACATTATATACAACATTACTTAAGGACTTTAAACAACAGCGACCTCTCAGTTATAGTAAACAAATTTTAGCTTCGGAATTCTACCGAAGCTAATAAAAAATCTTTTTTATAAAGTCACTCGATACGAAAAATTCACCATCCCTTCTTCCCATCCCTAAATAAAATCAGATAGATAGTAATTAAAAGATTATAATTTAAATCTATCTAAGGAAAATAAGTCGAACATTCTAGGTAACATGCTATTTTACATGGTAAACTAAATTAGTTTATCATGGAGCCAGAATACAAAGTGTCTTAATCAACCAAGAATAAATTTCTGACTGTGGATAATATCCTCTGATTAAAAGGAGTCGCTGTCTGCAGCTTCCAATTCCCAAAATAGAGTGGCAGCAAAAAATTATCATCTGTTTTGCCATCAGATGTGCATCGTTCAAAATATCAATACATCAAATATTTCATTACTGAAGTTATTGAAATGATGTCTTATATATATATATATATATATATATATATATATATTAACATTCTAAATTTTTAAATGTATAGTACATGTAAAGCAAAGAGAAACTAATGACATAATCAAGATGCCTTACTGACTAATCAAACTGCCTAACACAGCAAAGTAGATGGAAACCATACTTCTTATTCAATGTGCAATATCCTTTCAGGGTGTCAATAATCATGGCTCTCCACAATTTCCTATCTTTTGTTGCCCTTAATAAATTTTATAATTCTATCTCTTCTAAACCTTTATCCATCATCCATTTACTCAAGTTCATTTTATAGGTTAAGACCTGTTTTTCCTTTGTACCTCTTGACTTCAATCTGTATTAAATTTTCCAAGTCTCTTTCCTCATTATATGTCCTAGAAATTTCCACTATCTCTTCCTGGTGTTAAGTATAAGTTTCATTTTTGTTTACATTTTCTCTACAACATTGCTCACATATTCAGTCCATAGTATCCTCAGCATCCTTCTGTTGAACCACATTTCTATTGCTTCGAGTCTCTTTTTCACCTCTGGGGAAAGTGTTCAACATTCGCTGCCATATAGAAGGACTGATATTACATAACAATAGTTTTTTCCTTTGTTTCTAATAAAATATTTCTATTTCTTAATAATTTTCTTAGCTTTTGGAAGACATCAATTACAAATGAATATTGAGTTTGATCCTAAATGGGTGTTCCATACTTTTGGCTTTATGCTGCATCTAAGCTAGGCTTATAAAATCATTAGGGTACTTTGACAAGGCAGAGCTCATCTCACTAAATTAATTACATTTTTGGATTTCAATGTCACACTTTCCATCCTCTGTTAAAACACTTCCTAGATATTTAGATTTTTCGAATTGTTTAATTTTGGTATCTCCAATTTGTAATTTGCATTTTGGTCTCATCCTTTTGCTAACAATTATACATTCTGTCTTCATGCAGTTGATGTTTAATTCTTTGTTTTCACTTTCCTTCATAAGTTTTCTTTCCATGTCTGCTATCAACACTGTGTCAGCTGCATATCTAATGTTAAGACTGTGGTCACCAATAATGAATCCTGGTAGGACTTCTAATTTTATGAACTGAAGTTATTATTTTTTGTTCTTTTTTTTTAAATGCCACATCCCTTCAGGACTCAGGTGATCATGACCCTCCAGATATTCATTTTCTTTACCATTTATATGTACTTCCATAATTTTTTGAGAAAGATAGAGGAATGGTTTCCCATTGCCTTCTCAAAGGATTTTGAATTCAACGTTTTCCTTTTCTGACTGCCATCTAAGGTTAGACAGCTCAGTCTACCTTGATATTTAATCCAGATCTAGGTAGGGGAGAGAAGAGATGGAGCCATGCCTTTCCTGAGGACATTTGTAGGAAAGTATATGCAAAAGACTAGGCCAGAATATTTGAACTCAGCTTGCTAATTCCACTTTTGCAATAACGATCATGCTACTCATAAATCTGGCAGAATTGTTAGTCTCAGAAAAACAGGATCCACCAACAAATCAAATTCTTCTTATAGCAAACAAATTCACTTTTATCATAATTTCTTCAGAAATGTTTCAATCCAAAGAGAAAGTAAATGACCTTGTGACCTCTGGCCTTATTTCAAGTCCCTGTCAATCAGGGTAACCTTCAGGGAATTTTATTTGTTCTCATTTCACTGTTTACTGCTCTTTGGATATCACATCTACTTCTAATTTAGTACTGTTCAGTTATTGCTCACCCGGTCTGTACTACCCATACCAGGGATAGAACTCACAACTATTACTATGTCATCAAATTCAAAAAGCAACATTTTAATCTGTTAGGCTACTGTTCCAGGGATAATCCTGAACCCAACCTTAAACTTAATGTCCGTCTTTCCTGCCTGATGCTGAAGCAGCTGCTGCTGTTGTTATGCGTGACTTCATTCACTGTCAGTTCTCTTTTCTAACAGCTGCTGCTGCTGAAGCCTTGCTTATTGATTGATTTGTTTTTTTACAGCTTATCAACCTTTTTCAGGTTATTTAAAGCCAGAAAATATTTTTAGATTGTAAGAATAATTTAATCCAGATCTAGGTAGGGGGGAGAGATAATAATCATTTACTGATACAAGTTTTACTAATTAGCTACTGAAAGGAAAATAGGTGCGAATTCATACACTTACCAAGAATATTTGTACATAAGTAAATATAACAAACCTGACTGGAATTTGAACTCATTTCTCCAAATTCCAATTCTGATCTGTTATCCATTACACTACCCATACATCCAAGCTTACAGCATCTGGTATACTGCAGTGGTTACTCATCTAGAGGCTTGAGATTGCTTAACTTTAGTGATCATATGAGAGGCAGTTTTTCAATGTGATATGGTTGTAAGCCTGCTGAAGTCTTTCTGTCATTTTTCTTTGGGTAATTGTTGCATTTAGTAACCTTGCATAGATGTCAAACATAGCTCTTTATTCTATTCATTTGGTATGAAAACTCTGACAAAAGCCAGAAAACTCTGACAAAGGTCAGAAAACTCTAGCATATGAGTCATATTCAGTCTCTGCTAACATTTCATCCTGACTGACAACATTATGGTATATATCATTATTACCAAAGGCACTTTGACATGGTGTAATGGTTAGCGAGTTCATTTCACTAGATCAATTACAGCTGAATAGCAAGTTCAATTGTAACTGGGAACCCATACTTTTGGCCTTGTGCCACATCAGACCTCTGCTTAGAAAATAATTTTAGGCACATCAATGTGTGTAATGTTTAGCAAGTTTGTTTCATTAGATGAATTATGACTGAGTAGTGTGTTTGATCCACACTGGGTGCTCAACACTTTTGGCCTTGTCACACATCTAAGCTAACCTTTAAAACATTTCAATATGATGCAATGGTTAGCAAGTTTGTCTCACTAGATCAATTATGACTAAATAATAAGGTTGAGAATGTGGAGCACCTAGTGAGGATCAAACTCACTAGGTGCTCCACACTCTCAACCTTGTGCCACATCTAAGCTACACTTAGATCGCTATACTATTAGTACTAAACAATCATTTTCATATTATTTTCCCTTTAATATTATTATAGACAAAATGAAAAATATGTTTTAGGCATCTAGTATAGGAATTAAAATTGTAAACATAGACACCATGAAATTATTATAACCAACATGGCTGCCATTACTTTTTGGCTACAGACTTAGCTGCCATAAAATTGAGAAAGTTCATAGCCATCATTAATTATGAAAGCAGACATAGCCCTTATTAATCTATGGTAATAAACATAGTCACCATTAAATTATGATATGGCCACCATTAATCTGTGTCTACAGACATAGCTACCATTAAATTATAATGGCAAACATAAGAATCATTAAATTAAGCAAACCTGATGTCTGATTTCATCTTCCAGCATTTTGTTGATAATTTCATGTATCTCTTTTAGGTTTGTTGCTTCAATTAATACACAGAACAGACCTACAAAAAGAACAAGAATAAATACAGATATGGCTGTAATAGTTCTTAGTTGATACCATCAATAATTCTGGATGTGCATTATTAAGAATCTTCACTTTTTTAGAATCTGAAACTGTTTACATTATGTTTTTTATTCATTAAATAAGTAATTTTACACATACAGATTAAATAGTGCTAGACAATGTTCTCGCCAAAATCTATCTATTTATAAGTTGACCATCCGTCCTTGCATTAAAAACTGCTGCCACATCTGATCTGGTGCTTCTGCTATGTACTAGAGATTCTAGATAACATACAAAGAAGCTGTAATGTTATTGGTCTTGACCTGGCATCTTGGCTGCAGTCACTTTCCCACTGCTATAACATAGCTTCCCTGTGTCTTTTCTATGAATATTTTCATGGTAATTATTCAAATGAACTTTCCTCTTTGGTACCTAGATTTTATGAATTTAAGTGCAGTACTAGAATGGTGGCAAGATCTCATTATTTTACAGTTGAAATGGCTAGATGTAACCATAGGTTCTATGCTAACAGTTTCTTCTCTCACATTTCTCACTTGTGGAACTGTTAAAATGCAATGATAATCAGTATTTTTTTGTCTTCTTAATTTTTGTTCATTTATTGTTCTCTCTTCTTAATAATGCTTTCTTTTTCTCATATTCTCTAACACTCAGCAACATCTTAGTGGCTTGCCTTGCTTAGGGTGAAATGATTAAAAACATTTTTTTAAAAGTTTTACAACTTTAAAATTTAAATATATATCTATAAATATAAAATGTCCATGGCTTGAAGATTGTGTTCAAGCATGAAACATACTGTAACCACTTGGTGTTGACTCAGTGTCCACTTTTATATTTAAATATGCTCTATCCCTGATAATGAGCACTTTTACCCATGAAAATAGCATACCTGAAAACTACTCAAAACTATATTTTTAAGAGCACTCAGAATTTGCTGCCCCCAATATTTACATGAAGCAGGGAAATGCATTGAAAAACACTTTCAAGCTGTTTCAATACCCTGTTTTTTATTGAATATGAAAAAAGAACTAATAAAATATTCCAAAATAGAAAAACGGCTCCTCCTGACAAACCCAATGAATCAAAAAAATATATTGTACTACCAACTAACTCTATCACAACTATAATTAAAAAGAATTTATCTAAACTTAACATAAAATTTATTACAACTACATCTAAAACAATAAAAGAATTAATTAATACAAAACAAAACAATAAGCTAAAACTTGAAGGAGGAATTTAATCAATTGCCTGTAATAATTGTCACAAAAATATATAGGAGAAACCTCAAGGAATTTAAATAAAAGATTATATGAGCACAAAAGGGAGATTTTACAGAACAATATATTAAATGTATTAGCTGCTCGCTGTAATGAAACTGACCAAAATTTTTATATAAAAAATGCTACTCTGATCAAAGGAGAAAACAATTCACTACAACAAAAATGTCTAGAGAGTGCCTTGATTTCAAGGTCACCCACAGTAAATTTGCATCCAGGCTCTTACAACATTTCATCATTCCTGGTAGATCTTCTGATAGCTCAGTAGGATATTTAATGACAAAAGTGATGGAAACAAAAAGAATCTAAATGAAATCAGCTATATTACATACCCAAAAACACATTAAAAAAATGAAAAATAATTTAGAATTCCCAATGTCTTTCATCTATGCATATGTTTAGTTGCAACCTAAATAAATTTATTCTGATGAAGTCTTGAAGGCCGAAATGTACCATGCAAAAAGTTTTTTTCCATTTTGCCATATATATATATATATATATATATATATATGAATAAAAAGAGACAAGAGGAAAACTATTCTTAGCCTAAAAATAGTTTTTCCTCTTGCCTCTTTTTATTCATTTTGTTTCTCTACAGACACACTCTATCTGAAAATAATGTACATATATATATATATATATATATATATATATATATATAAATATATATATTATTATTATTATTATATATATTATATATGCGCTACTTATTAGAAAGCACTCAATATCAGAGATAAAGCTAACATATTTGGTTGGATTGATGTGAGTTTGTGACCCTGGGTTTCACGCTTTTGCAATCATCACATCCATCAATCAAACCAAATATATATATATATATTATAGGCATTATATATACATATATATATATGAAAACAATGTGTGTGTGCATTGTGTGTTAAAACCCAACCTAAACAAAATTATGGCATGTCTACAAATATTCTTAAATGTATTTATATAACAGAAGCCATTGGTTTATATATATATATATTCACATTTCATTAGTCAAATGAGCGTCAACAGACAAAATACTGCTATATAAACAATGACAGACTAATCACTGTATGTCCGTATATTGTTTTTGTTTTGTGTTTTATATCGATCGAAAGCTTAGATTATATTAAAAATAATGGATAAAAAAGTTTAATAATAATGTTATCAAACTTATCAGAAGAGGGAAAAATTTTCATAAAATAAATAGACAACATCTATATTATTTAATGAAACGTGTATATATAAATATATATATATATAATATATAGACGACATTAAAGACAAGATAATTTGGTCACAAAAGCTTTTTCACAAACTTTAATCCAACCAAATATATTTATATATGTAAATATAGACGACAGACAAGATAATGACCTTTTTTATTTAATTTTTATAAGTTCGAATGACCCACACACATGATTAAAAAGCAAAAATAAAATCATCCTTGATAATGGCTAAAAGTAAAGCCAAAAGCACTCAGAATTATAAAATATTTGGACAGTTTCTACACATTCTGCATCCAAAAAAGAAAACACTTGTTTGAATACAAGAAAATTTAAATAAAAAGCTTAATTGCAGTACCTTGTCTGTCATCTTTAATGAAACATGTATAAATGAATGATTGCTACCTAAATACACAAAAAATATATAAAAAATATATATATATATATATACGGGATAGAAATCCTGAATGACACCTAATCAGTCAGATTTTGATCATGGCTTGAGGCTTTTGAACATCTAGTCACACTGAAGAACTGCAATACAGCAAAACAGTATGGAGTATAAGAACAGAACAGCAGCAAGGGCTTTGTGTGCACTGCCTACTAACAAAAATTACATGCCGTCTGTTAACAGTAAGAAAATCAATTAAAACAGGTAAAAAAGATTAACATAACTTCTACTGCCCAGCCCCACATTGTCCCAAACTTGAGGATGATATAAAAAAAGCAGTGTGGTAGATCAGAGGAATTCAGGGAAAAGACATCATCATCATCATCATCATCATCATCATCGGTCCCTTGAGAGGGTGTGGTTGTAGGGTCACTGTGCAGCTGAACACCTGAGCAGTTCCCTCCACATATCTGGGTTAAAAACCAGAGAGATATTATATGCATGTGTCTTGGACCAGCAAACCTGGTGGAGTTCATCCCTCCCAAAGTCAAACTATTTTTTTTTCAACTTGAACACTCACCTTGATCACAGATATGTAGCCATTGATTAAACCAGTGGAACCCTGTACAGTCTAGGAAGCCCTCCACCCAGCAATGCTGTGTCATTACTGCACTGACTGTATACATCGCAGCCTACTCCATTATATTAGGTTGCCACTGACCCTACATGAAATGTTTCTCCCAAAATGATTATTAATGAGGTCAAGATATGAGCAAACAAACAAAAGATTCAGCCCTTTGCAAGAGCAGAACTTTTGGTGTTATTGGTGCTATGAAATGGCAGCATTTATCAATGTGTATAAAATCATACACTGCACAGAAAATACCAGCTGATTATAAAAAATAAAATTTACAGTTTCATGAATTTGTTATGAATGCATAAAAGGAAAGTTGTTGTTTTGATCTGTATTAAATATGGGAACATGGACAAAGTTCTACTAATATTTGATGTGCCATTCGCCAATGCTCTGAAAAGTATTTTTTTCTTGAAATTTACCTGCTGAAGTTCATTTAATACACCTGTGTATCTTTTATTCCAACAAATATTAATTGGTTAACTGGTCAAAAGTGAAAAAGTTATACCTGGTTCTTGTAACTGCAAATAGTAGTAAAATGATGGTACAATCATTAGAACCTGGCTTACTTCAGCTGCCAGAAGGAATCTGTAGTCCTTGTAACTAGAATAAAAGAAAGGCTTTTGTTTAACAAATAGAAAGAAAGACATATGACAGAAGAAAGAAAGAAAGAAAGAAAGAAAGAAAGAAAGAATGATAGTATCCAACTGTTAAGCATGGTGGTGGAAACATTATGTTTTGGGGCTGTTTCTCTGCTAAGGGGACAGGACGGCTACACCAGCTTGAGGGAATGATGGATGGGGCTAAGCACAGGGAAATCTTGAGTGAAAACCTCCTTGCCTCAGCCAGGACACTGAAGATGGGTCATGGATGGGTGTTCCAGCATAACAATGACCCAAAGCATATAGCTAAGGCAACAAAGGAGTGCCTCAAGAAGAAGCACATTAAGGTAATGGAGTGGCCTAGTCAGTCTCCGGACCTTAATCCTTTAGAGAATCTGTGAAGGGAAGCTTCAATTTGCCCAACAACAACAACCAACAAATCTTAAGGATTTGGCAAGGATCTGCAAAGAGGAATGGACCAAAATCCCCCTGGAATCTGTAAAAACTTGGTAACCAACTACAGGAAACGTCTGGTTGCCATGCTTGCCAACAAGATTTCCTTCATGAAATAAAATTTTTTTGTTATGGTGAAAACTGATTTTTTTCAATAAAAGAAATAAACGTCATGTTGTGTAGGAAACCTACCACCCCTCTTGAAGATGAACTTGTCTACAAACAAAGATGTTAAATTTCCTTCAAAAGAAAGACAGAGTTATGTTCTTGCTGAGTTAGTTAAACTACTCAGGCGATTTCTTTTTCAATAAAAAAAGAAACCCCAAATCAAAATAGTCAAAATTAATATAATGAGATTTTCTAAAATTCTTTTTTTATATTCTATCTCTCACTTTCAAGATGGCCCTACCCTGAAAATTATAGACCATTCCTATTTTTGTATGGCAGCAAACTCAGAAAATCAGCAAGGAATGAAATACATATTTTCCCCACTGTACTTAAGAGAACATTGAAGTCAACACTCAGAGGTGACAGGCTGTTTCATGTTAGATGCAATTGTCAGCCTGACAATTGTGTCTAGCATGAAACAGCCTGTCACCCTGAGTGTTGACTTCAATGTTCACTTATATATTTACATATGCTCGATCTCTGATATTGAGCACTTTATCCCATAAATGTATATTTCTTTTTTATAAACTATATATATATATATATATATATATATATATATATATATATATATAGTCTGTTCTCATTGACTTTATGTATCTTGTCTATCAAACTCATTACTGACTGAGTAATGAAACTTCTTTTAAATTTGTTTTTTAAAAATTATAATTTTATACTCATACAAATAAATAATACAAATAGATAAATGCAATTCCAATATGTGCAGATCATAAGAAATATACATATAAATTGTTGATGCTAAATAAATGATCATAGTGAACAAAGTTTGTCTTTGATTTATTACACATAGGTATAATGAGTTGCAATGCAAAATGTAGCTCTTGCTGTGGGTTGCAGTAAAAAAAAATTGAAAAACGATGGCCTAAGCTATTCATAGGGATGGGAAATGACTGAAATTCTTAAGTCATGTGAGTTTCACAATCTTCTGTAAGCAGAGATAGCATCTACTTTGTAACCTGATGAAGTTGTCAATTAAGACAAAAAAGGAAAGAAATGAGAGATAATAAGACACATCGCACATGCTTTGGTCACCAGGGAATCAAGTGTCATCTCATAATGTCGTACAGCAATATTATTAAAAATGCTATTGTACTAAAAAGCCTGATAATGAAAAATGAGATATTGCCTGGCTCCAAAATTAAATTTTTCAATTAAAAATCTACAGATAAAGGAAAACAGGAAGTTGAGAACTTCATGAAGGTATAAATAATTAGTGTTAAATGATCTTTCCTTTTTGTGACATGCAGCATTGGCTGCCATTTCAAAGACATCCAAAAAACACCTTGGAACACCAAAATGTTACAGCTTTCAAATAAAAATGTGACAAAAATTATCTATAAAAAAGATGAGAAGCCAAATATTTACCATTGAGTTTTTGGCATTTCGTACTGTTTGATCTTTGAGCTGGTGAACTTCAGTAGCTCAGGAACATTACTACACAAATGCAGGAACAGCTGTTTATATACACCTGCATCCTAAAAGAAACAATTCCTAAGTAAATTTAAAGTTTTTAGTATAATAGCATTGAGGTAAAAACAGCTTTGGTATGGTACAGAAGACAAAATATACAAATCTATATATCAGACTAATAGTGTCTTATTGAATTACAAAATGAAAAAAAAAACTTCTACACTATTCACTTTATCCCTTGAAAGGAATTCCTCAGACTAATAAGTTTCATTAAAGATGACAGACAAAATAATACGATTAAGCTTTTTATTTAATATTATTTGTGTTCACATAAGTGTTTTCTTTTCTGGACATAAAGTGTGTAAAAACTGTCCAAATGTTTTGTATATCTAAGTGCTTTTGGCTGTTCTATTATCTACTAGCAGTAGAGCCTGGCGTTGCCCGGGGATGTAACAGTAAGAGATAGATCAAGTATCAACCATCATAAAGACTGAAAAATAAAATTGACAAAGATTATTGTTTAAGCTTGACGGACACGTATATCTTAATTAGTTTTGTTTTGTTTTTTTTTGTTTTTTGACGAATTGGTCAAACCCAAACACAAAAAACATTGTTTTCAATCATTATGAGTCTACCGATTGAATAGAATTTTATTATAAACAATTGTCTTGTAAATGGAATTTTTAAAGCATTCTGAATGTAAAAATAAAGAAAAAAGTGTGCAAGACAATAAGAAACACTACCTGCCAAAAAAAAAGTGAATTTTTGTTGAAATTGGTTGAAAAATGTAGGAAATCTGATCCCATATATAAACGAACACACACACACACAAAGAACCTGGGTTTTATAATAAGTATAACTCGATATGAGTTGTCCCCGCTTTCATTCTCGTGATGCCTCTTAATTGTGTTTTCAAATTGATTTCATGCAAAAACAATTGAGTTTTTCCAATTTTTGGTGCTGTTAGAATCACCGCAAGGTAATTTTATGTAGTCCTGTGAAGTTTTGTTGAAATCAGTTGAAAAATGTAGGAAATCCAATCCAATATATAAACGTACAGACACACACACACACACACAATCTGCATTTTATAATAAGTAAGATTATCAAGAGTGATTTTTAGTTTTTAGTTTTAACTGACTGCGTAGAATTTTTTAATATAATTCTTGAGTGATGGGAATGTTTTATTATTTTCCAAAAACTGTCAGCATATTGTGGCCATGTTCATAGTTATTGCATATTGTCTTTTTCATTTTTGTTATTAGTACTTCCATTATTTTTATTTTTTTTTACATATGGATAATGCAATAATTGTATTTTCTATTAGTATGTTGCAGATGTAGTTTGGTAGGTTTCTATGTGTGTTTATATTAGTCCTAATTGAGTTATGGTCCGAGATGTACAGATCATGTTTTGAAAATAATAAAACATTCCCTTCACTCTAGAAGAATACTAGTAGTGACTTATCTTGAAAATGGACAAAATTTGGTTTTGTGTTATTAACAAGTACCTACAGAAAAGGGTTTGACCCCCAAGGACATTCAAGGTTGCTACATTAGGGGATGATGTTCCAAATTTATCAACAGTGCAAAAGTGGGCAGCTGAATTTAGGATGGAAAGCGAGAGTTTTGAAAATGATCCAAGGTTTGGAAATCCAGCAACTGCCACCACTGAGGAAAACATTGATTGTGTTCATCACATGGTGATGGGTGACAAACAATTGACTATAAATCAAATAGGCAATGCTATTAGTGTATCCCATGAGGGAATTGAGAATAATCTGCACACTGAACTTGACATGATGAAGGTTTCTGCTTGGTGGGTACCATGTCTTCTGACAACTGATCCAAAGTGCAGCAGCAGATTGATCACATCAGGGGAAATTCTGACATTTTTGAAGACAGATCCAGCTGGTTTCCTTGAATGTTTTCTAATCCAGGATGACTTTTGAGCCAGAGATAATCCATGCACTAGAAATACATCTCCTTCAAAGTCCATGGTTGTTTCATTTGCTCTCAGATTTCCAAGCCCTTGTTCCTCATTATATGCCATAGAAATTTCAAATATCTCTTCCCGATGTTAAATAGATGTTTCTTTTTTGTTTACATATTCTCTAAAACTTCATTGTTGCTCACATGTTTGGTCGATGGTGTCCTCAGCATCCTTCAGTAGAACTACATTTCTGTTGTTTCAAGTCTCTTCTTCATCTTTGAAGAGACTATCCAGCATTCACTGCCATATTGTAGGACTGATATTAAATAACAGTTCAGCACTCTTTTCTTTGTTTCTAACAATTTTTTTTTTCACAATGAATATTTTTTTATCTCCAATCTATAGTACATAATAATGTCTTCAGTATGACAGTCTGAGAGTTTCAATAAAAAGTGACTAAAATTCAGATGACAGAAATATTAACTGAAAAAGGAAAAATAAAGATGAAAACAGTTCTGGTAACACAAATTTTGTGATGTCAACAAACACTTGTTTGACACTTTTGTGATGTCAACAAATACTCGTTGTCACTTTCGTAATCCTTGTTATAGTAGAGACTTTGTAATCACAGATACAACTATAATATGCCATTGAACAATACTGGTATCAGACACCTTCAAATATTACTCGCACGAATAGAACTTGCTCGATAATACTCACTTAAACAGTAATCTGTACTGATCCGAGTAGAGAATAGTGATCTGAATAGTATAGAGGATAGACTAGAATTGGAGATTATTTAGATGTCACACTACTTTCTACTTATATGCATTTACTACATGGTCATGTGGTCTACTTAATTCAATAATGGGATTGCCTGTGTTTGCTCACTGGCAATCTATGTTCAATCTCAAGTGTCAGCAGCGATACTTTATTCCTATATAATAACAAACAATGAGAATAATAACTTCTTTCAGAAGTTTAGACTAAACAGATTTCTCCACTCAAAAATATATCAAGTTAAAACAAATATAAATATGTTAGATTCACACATGGTTATACAAGCAATTGAAATGAAATGGAATCTTTGAATTCTCATGTACAGGCAGCATTTTGTATTTTCAGCTACTTCGAGAGATCTGTAAAACTAAGTTAATAAAAAAAACCATAACTCACCACATTTTCTTCTCTGTCAAGTTTGATTGCATTGAAGAGTAGCCCCACTGTAATGCCACGAAGTTCACGTGGCATTAGGAACAGATCAATAGTGAAAATATCCCTGCAAAACATTTTAAGACAAAATGCATAGTTGTCAGCAAAAGGGACAGGCCAAGATGGGAGCTACAAATTAGAGATGTCAGAATCAAACAAGTACAGAAATTTAGTTATAAAACAAGACAGAAATTATGACACAGAAATCCAAAGGCACATTGGAATAGTGAAAGATGCCTTCCAAAAGTTAAACAAAGTATTAAGAAACAGAAAAATTTTATTAGAAACAAAGAGTGCACAACTGACATGCAATATCAACCCTTCCATATTGCAAGGAATGTGAGAAAATTTCTGTTGCAGATGAAGTGGAAATTTAAGGCAACAAAGATGTGGTTCTACAGAAGGATGCTGAGAATATTACAAATGGAACATAGGAGCAGCAAGGAAGGTTTAAGGAAAATGAGAACAAAAAGTACAATTTTACTTAGAATCAGAAAGTATTAAAATTTCCAGGGTGCATAAGAAAGAAAGGCGGATTATAGAATTTGATACTCGCAGGGCTGTCTTCAGTAAGACAAATGACAAACAATAAGTAACCTTTAAAATTTTGTTGGCTGGAAAGCATGGAGCCAGAAGAGAGTTCCACAAGCAAGAAGTTTGAGAAAAGAAACTGTTAGCATAGAATTTATGGCTACAACTAACCATCTCAACTGTAAATTAATGAGATCTTAACACCAGTCTAGTACTGTGCTTAAATTCAAAAAGTCGAGGAATCATAGCAAAAATTACATTTGAACAATTACCATGAAAGTGTTTATAGAAAAGACACAGAGAGGCAACCTTACAGCAGTGGAAAAGAGTCTGAATCCAAGCCACCGGATCTGGACTAATGACATTGCTGATTTTTCTTTGGATTTTATCAAGGAGCTCAAGATAAATAGCAAGAGCACTCAACCATATATGGCAGCAATATTCTAAGCATGTGTGAATGGCAGACATAGATATGCATGGTAGAATTTGCATGACACGGTGAACCAACTTTCTTAGTAGCTGATCAAGCAATGGATTCAAAATAGTCCTTCCACTTCATGTCAGCTGAGAATGTTATCCCAAGAAGGTGCAACAAGTCATTTTCCTGGAGGTTAGCATCAGCCATGCTGATGAAAAGCAAAGAATGGCCTCTATGATGATTAATGGAGGGAGGTTTAGTTTTGGAGGCATTAAAATTAACAAGCTATCTTCTGCCCCAATTAACAACAGACTTCAGGTCTTTTCAAAGAGCATTAATGCAGAATTAATGAAACAGAATTAACTGGAATCTGAAATCAACTTGGCACTTACATAATTATGCAATGTGAGATAATTAAAAAAAAACATCAATTATAAAGTACTAATGTGTAGGTCCTTGAAGGCAGTTGTTAATGGTCATTACTTCTTGGCCTTATCAGTCAACACAAGCATTCCTCAGGGGTCACTTTCTTAGACCAACCCTCTTTTTACTTTATGTAAATGATCTGCCTAAGAGTACACTCAGATCATTTGTCAATATCCATGCTGATGATACAACAGTACATGGGTTTTTATGGCAATTTTCAGACCATTAATTTTACTTGTTTTTTATTGCAAATCTTATACCCTTAATTTCACTTGGCATTTCATTGCAATTCTCAAACCATTACTTTTACTTGGCTTTTTATTGCAACTCTCATACCATTAATTTCTCTTACTTTTTATTGCAACTATCAAACTATTAATTTCATTCAGTATTTTTTGTACCTCTGAGATCATTAATTTCACTAAATAATTATTGCAACTATCAAGCCATTAATTTTACTAGATTTTTATTGCAATTCTCATTCTATTAATTTCACTGGGCTGTTGTTGAAACTTTCAAACCATTTTTCTATGATCATTAGTAACTTATACAGATTGGAAAAAAAATTAAAACAACTGAAATGAACAAATTGATAATTGAAAAATAAGATTTTCTTTCATTAGATACAATGGAAAATGTTGCAATAAGGAAACTTTATATTATTGTTTTAATTCCATTTAATTAAAAGTAAAAGATAAAAACTCGTTTCAAGTTTATGTTTTTATGTTGTGGTACTGCATTGCTTTTCATTATCTGATAGACAGAAATCAGGATTTTATCACAACGAAACAATTTTCTTTATTGTTATATTTTGAAAATGTTTTTCAAGGTTGAGTAAAAGATATCTTTGCTCTAATTTTTTTTTCTTAATTTGTTTGTCCATCCAGCAAATATAAACATGTTACATAAGAGATTCAAGAAATAAAAGAAAATTAGAAAAAAAATGTGATAAAAAAGAATATGAACACCTGTAGATGATAAGATATATGCAAGGTTAAATGAGAGAAGTAAATGGTAAAGAAAAGGTGGGAAGATGGAAGAGAATAAAGAAGAAAAGAAACAAGGGATGAAGAGTGAACCATAAAAGAAAGAAGAAAGAAGGTAAGATTTAAGGAGAGAGATTATAGAAGATAAAGAAAAAAAGACAAGTAACTGACAAAGAAATATAAAAGAAAGAAAATGTCAGAAAAAGGAGAGAGAGTAAGATTTTAGGAGAGGGATTATGAAAAAGCAAAGAAAGACAGAAGAGGTATCAGATGACAAAGAAAGAAGACAAAAAAGAAGACAAGAAAGAAGAAAATGAAGGAAAAAGAAAAAAACATGTAAAATGAAATGAAGACAAAAGAGAGAATTCACATAAGAATGTAATTAATATAACATAAGTATAAAGAACCATTTTTTCCCTCCATCAGCATGGCAGATGCTAACTTCCAGGAGAGCAACAAATTGTGCCTTAAAAAGAAATATAAAAGAAAGAAAATGTCAAAAAAGAAAAAGGAAAGAGAATAAGATTTTAGGAGAGGGATTATGAAAAATTAATGTCTATTTTAATTTTAAAGTATAATATTAATGACTGAGGAGAATTTTATGAGATAATTTTTGAGAGTGGATTTTATATGATTGATTCCATCAATAAAACCTTCATTATTTAGTCAGAAGAACTTACTTTTTAAGTACTAGAATTGTTTTTGCAACATGCTGATACATGTTGAGATCCTCACAGTATTTAGTATTGTTGAAGTTATCACTAATATTTTCATCAAGATTTACAAACTGTATGTTTTATTCAATTTTGCAAAACAATTGATGAAATTTCAATAAACTGATAAGTTTAGAAAAATATCTTGACAAAAACCATACTTTGTGGTTTAATAATTTCTCATGTAGGGAAAACCACATGAACCAACATTTCTTGTTTGAGAGGAATATGTCCTCACTAGCAAAGATAAATCCAGCCCACTTGAATATCTGCTGAGTATCCTAAACATGGCTTCTCAAAAAAGTAAGCTCAAATTACTATTGGGAATTATTACAAGTAACACTCCTTCTTTTCAATACATTTTGACATTGCCTGTTGTTGCATACATGTGTTATAGTTTCTCTGCATGGGACACATGTCAATGTGTGTATATAATTTTGTGTATGATTTAGTGGCATAAAACCTTCTCTGAAAACAAAGCATGTTTGTCATTCCTTTTTTTTTTCAGCTATTACACTCTGTCTGTAAAATAAGATGTTATTATATTATGGATATAATAATGCCCATAATGGGGGAAATACAACCTGTAATATTATTTCTTTTTTCCATAGCTCACCCATTTTCTGGTGACTTACTAGATTTGATGGTAACTGGTGACTTGTCCAACGCAATATCATTACAGGACACAATGTATTATTAACCCCTATTAATTGGTAACTGTGATATAATAGTACACAATTAACTGTACAAACAGTAAAACTATATGTCATTTATGGAGATGAAAGTACTGTTCATAAGTGGTTCGCTAAGTGAAAATGAGAAAATTTTGGTTTGGAGACTGAGAAGATTCTAGCAGGACTGCAGTCATTAATGCTAATCAAATCAAAATGTTGATTTAAAGTAATCCATGTCACAGAACACAGGACATTTCAGAGATACTGCACATATCTCTTATAAATGCTTGGGTATGTGAATTGATATAATATTTGGATACCTAACAATTTAACAGGTAAAAAAAATATTAAATAGACTGCATTTTCATCTGCAATTCTCTGCTCAAATGCAGTTGGTGGGAAAGAAAGGTTACATCTAGAAAATTCAACTGTAAAATGATATCTTGCCACCAATGTAGTAGTTCACTTAAATTCATAAAGTCTAGGTACCATAAAGCAAAGTTCAACAATTACCATGAAAACTTTTATAGAAAAGGCACAGGGAAGCTACCTTACAGTGGTGGGAAAGTGACTGAAGCCAGGATGCCATGTTGGGACCAATAACATTGTGGATTCTTCTTCAGATTTTATCAAGAATTTCTAAATATATAACAGAACCACCAGACCATATGTGGCAGCAATATTCTAAGTGCTGTAATGTTGTCTTTGTTCAAAATAGCTAAGAATTAGGAAGGCCACAATTAGAGAGTACCAAAGGAACAGAAGACTAGATAGAGAAAACAAAGAAGAGGTTTATTAAAGACACATACATAGAAGGGAAAATATTTAAAAATAGGAGCAGTCCATTGTCACTGTAGTAGGGAAGAGCAGGAAGTATGCAGAGTCCTACTCTACAATATAAAGCATGGATGAATGGTAGACTTACAAAAATATAAGATGTTTAGAACAATACAGTGAACCAATTTTCCTAGCAAATTAAAAATGTCATTTCCAGTATTACAAACAGGATTTATGTTGACCATTGGCTCCTGTAAGAAGCTCCTCCACCCTTTGACAAGTCTTGTTTTTCATCCTATCGAGTGACATGCCACCCTACTCACCAACAGAGAAGCTTGTAAGAAAGTTGGTTTAGATGCCAACCACCCATCCACGTGGCAGGTTGTATTGAGTTATATGTTATCAGTAGCAGGCCTAAACCAGTCCTGATCAGAAAATAATTTTCCTTTTACAGTTAAGCAATTTTTCTTTTTTTCCAAAATTAGCATGCGATCATTGTGAGACAATCATGAAGAACTAATCAAAATATTTTTATTTTTTTTTATTCTGCATGGCATAAAAATACTGCTTCTAGATGTATCTTTAGCAAATGTTTATAAATAACAGTTAAAAATTGCAACATTACATATGAACGACTGGTATAAATAATACTTGGTATCAATGTGACATTTATATTAAGAAATGCATTATGTAAATAATTCTCATCTTGACCTACCCACATTTCTGTAAATTGGTCACAGACAACATTTCCACAATTGTTTGACTTGGGATGCTGAACTCAAGTGACGCCTAAAATAAATCCAAAAATGTTCCACTTTAATCTTGCTCAATATACATGCAGACAATAAACATACACCCCAACAGCATGGATAGATATACAATTATATGTGAAATTGCTTCCAATAAAGAAAACACTTTGATATATACAGTAGGGAAGCTGATTAAAATGATGCATCTAGCTAGACCAACAGTAAAACAGTGAGAGCTAGTTACCAATCTACTAGAAGATTTAACTTTATGTAGTCTGGGCACCAGGAACAAAAGCACATCTGAGCAGTTGCCATGAAAATATTTGTAGAACAGACAAAGAGAAACCACGTTATGTCAGTGAGAACATAACTGGGGACGAGATGCCTCATCAGGATCGATTGTATTACAGACCCTTCTCTGGATTTTGCCAAGAATCTCAAGATGCACAGTAGAAGTACCAAACCAGATATGGCAATAGTATTAAATACACAGAGGAATGGTAGATTTATAAATGTGCAAGATGGATTCTGACAAAAAAAAATTTTTTTGGCATGACACAATGAACCAACCTTCCTTATACCAGACATAGCAATCAACCCGATATAGTCACTCCACTTCATGTCAGTGGAAAAACATAAGGCCAAGAAGGTGCAGAGTGTTGCTCTCCTGGTGGTTAGCATCAGTCATCCTGATAGCAGACACAAAAGGTTCTCTGTAGTGATTAAATGAAAGCAGTTTTGTTTTGGAGGTGTTAAAATTTACAAGTCATTTCTCACCCATTAAACACCAACTGAGGGTTTTTTCAAGAGCAGTCAGGTTTACTTTGTTGGACCTGTCAGATTTGCTACTAAGACAGGAGTAAGTGGTAATGTCACCTGCATAAATTATGTGAATAATTTTTTTTTAAAACAATTTCTATCTTTGGTCAGTGTTTTAATGATTAGTTAGTTTGGACCATAGATATCACTGGTGTTCCTACAGTTCCAGATAAGGTAATTAGTGTGACTGGACAAAAAAAAAAGTTAGAATCTAGTTCTTGTGTATAATAGACACTTCTAAATTTCTAGGATAATAATCTGGAAAATAGAGCACATTAAACATGAATAATTACAGTAATTTCCATGCCATGAGTTACATTTTTATCATTGCTTGATGCAAGTTTGCTATTCAATTAATAATCCCAAGGTTAATGAATTTAACAGCATTTCAACCATTGTTAGATTATTCAATGTCAAACTATTTTATTATATTTGAGTCTATAGGCAAATACTGGTTATATTTGAGATTATAGACAAACATATGTTAGTCAGGTTTATACTTGAATTCAGAGTAAAACTTGAGCTAACATAGAAAACATTGAGCTTATACTTGAATCTATAGAAAAATAATTGTCATGTATATTTTAGTCTATAGGTATACATTGGTTGAGCTTATACTTGAGTCTACAAACATTGATGATGTTTATACTTGAGTCAATAAACAAAAATTGGTCATGCTTATACTTGAGTCTATAGGTAAACATTGTTCATGCTTATATTTGAATTTATAGGCAAACATTGGCCATATTTGTATTTGAGTCTACAGGCAAACATTGGTCATGTTTATACCTGAATTCAGGCTTATACTTGAGTCTACATGCAAACAATGTGTGCATATGTGAATCTATAGGCAATCATTGGTTACACTTATACTTGTGTCTCTAGACAAGCATTGGCTATGCTTCTACTTGAGTTTACATGCAAGTGTTGCATGTATATATGAGTCTATAGACAAATATTGTTCATGCTTTCACTTGAATCTATAGGCAAACATTGGTTATGTTTATACAGTTGCTCCATCCAAAAACTGGCCACTTTTGGTAACCGTATTGATATCATGAACAGGATATATTAATATTCCTCCAGTTACTGCAAACATATCTTATAGCAAAAAAAAAGGAAAAAGTCAACTTACCAATAGAAGTAAAAAGAGAACATTGCTCTGCTCTCTGTTTTTGACTCTCTGTTCAAATAACTGCTCAAGAAAATTGTTGTGGTTCTTGATGATGTCACTTGAATATAGACAGGGACAAATAAATTAGAAAATCACAAGTCAATTTTTATTGAGTTAAATGCATTTGGACAATCGATTATTTGTAAATCCATGATGTCAAAGGATTTATTAAACAAATACAGTCACATGCAAAATTATTGGACACTTAAAATCTCTAAATGTTTTTTTTTAAGAAAAACATGATTTATAAAACTGCAACAAATCTAATATTTCAGTTGACCATAATAATTACTTAGAATATTATATCATCATCATTTTATTCAGTTAGTGCATTTTTGTGCCACCGTGGTCACCATTCCCCTCCATCTCATAGTTGTGGTTCATGGTGACATTCAAGGCAGAATAGGGCAATGGTATGGTAGTTCCTTTTGCACCAGAGATGTTGAAGTTACTCTGACCCTCCTCCAAGAGGTGGATTTGTTTTTGAAATTACCTTCTTCTAGCCTTTGCCTAAAGAAGCAAGACCTACAAAGCAGCAGGTGGTTTCCACTTAGTCTGTCTTGCTATTTTACCCATAGTTGGGAGGATAAGAGATGGATTCAGACCTTTCCCAAGGATATTAACACATAAGTGAATGTAATGAACTCAACTGGGAATTGAACTTAGCTCTCCAATTCCTCAATCCGAGCCACTAACCATTACTCCACCATGCCTGCATTAGTGTATTATATAGCCAAGTGCAAATAAGGAATTTTATGTTTATGAAGAAATTTGCTGGTAAATTTAAGAAAAAGGTACAATGCAAAAGTATTGGACACATGTCAATAAACTGCATTTAACAATTAATACTACACCATTTATTTGCTATGAAGGTGATCAGATGTCAAGAATCTTTTAAAATAATTTTGATTCAATATTATTGCATGCCTGTTGACAAAACACAGAAATTTAATGACAAAGTGGAAAAAACTTTTTTTAGAAATTCATCAGATGAAATTAATGTTTACATTGATGCAACTACATATGTTGAAAAATCAGAAATTTCAGACATGCCTGTGCCCTTTCCCAACAAAATAAAAAATGAAGTGGGAATCTTTTTTTCTCATCATGCTTCCATTTGGTCAAAAGGACTACTAATATCCAAGAAATATTAGTGTCTTATTATCAATATTATTATTTTTCTTGTTTTTATCTCTTAAATTTCTTTCACCAACCTACTATATCTATCTATCTATCTATCTATCTATATATATATATATATATATATATATATATATATATATATATATTTTAATAAAAACAGACCACTTTAAGGTTCCATGTAATAAATTATTTCACCACAGCCCTTTTAAAGGGCTCTGGGTCATCAGACTTTACTTCCAAACATTGAAATGAAAAATGAAAAAAATTTACACATTTTTTGCGGGCGTATTAAGCATATGTAAATTAACGAAGTTTGGTCTACCTATACGGATTACCTAGTTTTGCATAAACTACACACACACACACACACAC